AAAGAATGAAATCTTTCCCATCATAGCAGACTTCAGCACATTCTCCATGTGAGGCATGCTAGCTGGATGTCTTCCGGCATCACTGTTACATGTTGGGTGTCTTCCAAAAGGACAACCAGAGAGGCCTTACTTGCTTTTTGGAAGCACAGATCTGTTTGGAAGTCCTGAGCAATATCTCACACTGACTCTAGAAAGGAAGCCTGTGAATCCCAAGTTTGGTGGACTTCTGATGGTTTCTCTTCCCACAGTGCCACATAATCTGCCTCTAACAATGAGGTTTCCTTGCCCCTCCAGTAGAGGGCTCACAGTCACAAGCAATTTTTGTGGCCAGTTGCTTTCTGGGTGTTTCATCACTGGCAACTGGTCAACTTGCAGGCAGAGGGCTTTGTAGGAGCCATGGTATAGAGACCCCCTTACTTACTCCTTCTGCTTCTGTGGGGCTCAGCCGGCTAGAGACGGGTGTGTGGAAACTGCAAACACATTTCTATTCCCAGAAAGATTTTAAAGAAAAAAACTCATGGCTACGCATAGTTTGTTTATTGCTGTTAGTGTTTATATAGTGTTTATTTGTCAATTACTCTGAGCCTAATCTATGGTAACTCCTATATTTGCATTAACTCTCTTCTTGCCAACAATCCTGTTACCATTACTCCATTTACACAAGAGAGCTCTGACACTCAGAGAGTTTTGTAAATTAGCCAGGACCACCCAGCTAGAAAGGTGCTGGGCCAGGATTCCAGTTCAGGCAGTCTGACTGGAGACCAAATTCTTAAAACTATGCCCTATCGCCTTTCTGGTCAAGGAATTTACCAAGTAGTTCATAAAAAGCAAATGTGGGTGATGGAATACCTACCTGCTTACCTATTTATGTCCCCATGAATCCCACCTGTGCCTTTTCAGTTCCCACCTCCCTCCTAATTGTACACCATTCCTGCCACCAGGAATGCTGCCCTCTGACCCTAAAATCTATTCATCCCCCAAGGCACAGGTAAGTGCCACCTCTCTGGGGAACTTTCCCTGATCATCCAAAACAGGAGTAACAACTCTTCCCCAAATTCTTTCCCACCTCCTACCAAACATGGGCCTCCCTGTTCTCTGCCCGTCTCTTCTCCTTGCGTCTGTTTCCCTCCTGAGGCCGTGCACAGTGACTTGCATTCAGTCTTATGCTTGGTATTTGCCACGTGAATGATTTCCAACTGGCTCTATCCTTCCATTTCCCGTTTCTGATTCTTTTTGCTCAAATTATCCTAAACAACTGAATGACATTATAACCCTAACAACAACTTATCACGGAAAAGTAAATAGTCTAGGAAAGCCTTCTTTTGTCTCTATGTATTAATAATCCAAGTTGTATTTTACTTAGGGTAATTTTTAGTTAGAAATCCCTCTTGTTTTTATTTTGTTAGCATGCTTCTGCTCTTATCAGCTACTGTTTAGAGAAAAGTAATTTGTGAAGGAAGAAAAATCAAATTTCATAAGATCACCGAAATGCCTAAGATTTTAACTAAAATTCAACTGAAGGTGTAACAGCAGCTTTTGAGTTGGAAGTACAAACTGCATTAAACTTTTCTGGGTTTAGCTTCCACATCAGTTCATTTCAAATCTCTTAGTGAAGCCAAGTGGGATAAAACACAAGATGAAGACAAAAGAAGGGTAGATATTTTTATTTAATGAAAACACATGTTATGAAATTTTAAAAAGCAAAAGCATTGCAAGCAGCAAAGAGAATTCCTCATTTCCTCCTTCTGAGCTTATTTGCTTTGGAGCAAAATCCATTGTTTCAACTCCAGGGCTTAAGGAAAATAATCTTTGATATAAGAAGCTATCATGGAAAGCCACTAAATTGGCATGCTCAAACCAAATGCTCCCACCACACTCCTTATCAAAGAGCACCAGGAAATGCACTCACTCAAGACCCCACCCCTGCAAGTAGAAGCCACAGGCTTTGCTGAAACGGTTCAGTTGAGAGATCAAAGACGCTGTAATGGAAAAACCAAAGCCGGACTCATACCGTCCCGCAGCTAAAACATACTCCCAGCGACTCAATACAGAAAGGGAACAGCAGCGTGCAAAATCTTTTAGCTAACATGCTTGTGGGGCTGCCTGCCAGCCAGACACTGTTCTACAAGTACTCACTCATTTAGTCTCAGGTGCCAACTATGA